GACAGAAAGCGAGAAATCACCCCCCAGGGGGGATGGTCACGCCGCAATCCCTTCTCCTCCATTCTCCTCTTGGGATCTTGGGCACGCACACACACGCACACGCGCCCGGCGTGAGTTTTATCCCACCGGGTCTGGGATGCGAACCGCGGTCGACTATGTGGGAGTCCAGCGACATAGCCATTACGCTAACTGCTGGTTCCCTGATCCCAGGTTCTTTAGGAGAACAGGCAAGTTCTAGAGACCCCATATCTCTGCACAGTGACTACCAGGGAGGCAAACTTCAAGTGTTGGGCTTGAGGGAAACCCTAGAGTCCTTCACCCACGTTGGCAGTGGGTGCCTTCTGTGGTGTGAGAAGTGACAGATCTGTTGGCCAGCCCTCTCTGTCACCAGCGCCACTAGGCAGATGAGACAGGGGAAGCTAGGTTCCAGACTTTGCTAAGTTCTCCGTTACACCCACTCCCCGATGGAGAGGCCATTTTTCTCTTTTTAATTCTTTCCCCTGGATTTATATTTCAAAAAATTTCACCAATGATACTCCTGATAAATGCCTGAGCTGTCCAAGCTGATAGCTTTTGAGTATGTCTGTTATTTCCCAAATGTTCTTTATAGTTTCACTTATTCTGGTGGTTACAGAAGATAAAGAAATGGAGAAAACTGAGACAGCACAATGGGGCCAGAGACTACCACCTTCGGCCATTGCAAGTCTCTTCACTTGGGTTTCGAAAGCCATTTTTCTTTCCATCTAATTTTTTTCTTGAGAAATATCCTGTTACACAAAGGGAGGCCCAGGCAGAACAAGTCACTCTCCCAGGCCCCTCCAGTGAGGGACCTGTCCCTGATTTGTATGCTTAGGAAAAATACTCTGCTTTGCTTAAAATGCTTCTTTGAGAAGGGCTGAGCAATGACCAACCAGAATGGGCTGGCTTGGGAGGGACTTGGAGCCTGCAGAGGGAACCAGATGCCCCAGGAGTCTGGGAACAAGCCAGGTATCTGAACCTCAGGGCTCAAGCCCTTTCATCACTCACATGCTGGCCTCTTGATTGGATTTGCATCCTAGATTCACACTTGAGCTGGCACATCAGCAGTTCCTAATCACCCCTGAACCAGGAATCTGAGTCTCTTGGCCTTTCTGCTTCCTCATTTAATAGGCAAGTTTCATCAACCTGACTTTGAGAATCATCAGTGGATCCCAAACTCAGAGGTACGTTTCAGTTCAGTTCAACAAACATATTGGGGCACCTCTTCTGTGGATTGCTTTACAACTTTTGGGAAACAGTTCAAAAGAGGAGAGGACGGGAAGAAAGAGGTGGAGCTAAAATACATCATGCACATGGAAGGCACCCTGGTGAACAGTAAATGTAATGATATTTGCCCTTTAAAGCTCCTATTTGGGAGAAGAAAAGAAATGCAGTATTTTGAGTCTCTCACCCTGAAGCCTGGGCAGCCATGAAATGGGATCTACGCCTGATGGCATGAGGGGGGATCTAGGCATGTTAGCAGATTCCAAAGGTGGATCTTGCGCCTCTGACTCATAACTGCATATTGACAATGGACTCCCAGCACCGATTGCCCAAGTATGAAGAGCCAAACAGAAGAACAAAGAAAGCCATGCAGGATTGATAGCTGTTGTGTATGGTTCGAAAACACAAGAGACTGTCAGGCCTAGCCAGCTATTATCATCATCCTTAATAAATGGTCAGGGGGCTCATGTTCCTCCAGGATCAAAATCTCATTTAATCCACTCTTCACATGGATGCTCACCCACCTGACCAGGTAATCACTCAGAATCTAATTGAGAAACTCAAGAGACTGGTTGTGCTAGGGCAGAAAAGAGAGAAAGAAGGGTCTGAATCTTGGTAACCTCTTCACACTGCTGGACCCTCTGGAACAAGACTAAGCCTCTGTTGCTTGAGGAGATTAACTCCCTTTTAAGATCTACAAGGCTCCTCAAAGCCCATGGTCCTCCTTTAAGCTTTAATGATGCTGGCTGCCACTGAGAAACAACCCCTAATCCATCAGCAGCTGTTTTATTGGTGGCTAGAATTCATTTCTGCCACCTGGAGAAATGGGTAACTTTTTTGGTTAGAGAAGTCATATGCCATTTTCTGCAGGGCTGGGCATATATTGTTGAATTTTTTTTTTAATCTAATTTTTTCTTAAGTAATAGATGGAATCCTTCCAAAGGGTAAAAAATATTCTCACAGACACCCTGAGTTGACCTAATTTATTTTTTATTATACTGTTTTCAAATATGTACAGCCATAAAATGGCTTTTGCTCATAGGTCTATTGCCACTATAAAATAAAAATGAATTGACAAATAAATAGGAGGAAATCTACAAAGTCAATAAAATGTAAGTTCACAGCATTCATTTAACCTGGTGACAGCATCGCTTGCTGAAATGAAGTCCCTGCCGGGGCTGATGCGAACGTGACACCAGGAGGAGCAGCAGGAGGTGCTTCCAGGCCTTGTGATAACTCGGTTATCTGCACTCCAATTACTTTTAAAAGTCTACTCACCCTTCGTCCATTCAGCACGTGTGTATTGTGACCTACTCTCTGTCTAGGGTGTGCCTCGGGATAAAGGAGTAAGCAAAAGACAGGTAGACCCCTTGTGCTTTGGGAATTTCTATTGTAGTTGTCCTGAGGGACAAACAGGGTTATGTGACAATCTCCATTCTCGTCTCTTTCAACCATGACAATTACTGTAGAAGCATGTAGTTCTGGTTTTGTCAAGACACAGACACAAACACGTATCCTGAAACTAACCTCAACCCACATTCAGTACTCACCGGTCGCCCAGATATTTACATTAAATTTTAGAAAATCATCAAAATGGAAAGACGAAGTGCGAAAATCGTTGAGATAGCGCGTATGTACAAAAGCCAGAGAATCCTTGGATGCCTGCGAAGTCTCAGTTGGAGAAGCACAGCTTGAATCACTTTCCATTACACGTTTTTTATCTCGTTCAGGGGTTTGATAAGGAAGTGGTACCAGCAAACCAACAATAGTTCTTATCTCTAGAAGAAAAATATTATTCCCATAGGAGGGTTGTTTTCAATTTCTGCTTTTCTTCCTACTGCTTTTGGTCATTCCCAAGCTTGTTATGTTATCTTAGGTTGAAAAGAACAAAACTTCAAAACTAAAAAATTACAGTATTTTTGGTTTTTTGTTTTTTTCCCCTCAGCTTTCAACATGGAATAGAGCTTGTTGCGTAGGACATTGGAAAGCACTGGTCAGAGTAAGGCTTAGAGATCCTTGTTGGACTTGATCAGCACCAACTGTAACTACTTTTCACAGAGTACTCGTCCTTTGGTAGCTCCCATCGCCTCTTCTCCCAGTCCTGGGAGTCGGGCTGTCATCCTGTGTGCAGCTGGGAAGGGCAGGCGAAGTGAACCTGGTGGGATCATTGCAATGAGCCCAGAGCATCAGCGTGAGGCCTAGATTTCTACAGGGGCCTCCCACACAGCCCCTTTGTAGTTCTAAGGCAGGGCGCTTATAATCCAGCCATGCAGATAACAAAAGGGAAGACACAGGCAATTCGGTTTTTATTCTCCAGTCTTTTTGCCTAGAAAACA